GAAAATGAGCAGACTAAACCTCCCACACAACAGCATGGATAAGTCTCGCGAACATCAAGCTGAATAAAAGAAGCAAATCCCAGAAGAATACTGGCAGTACGATTCTATTTATGTAACATCTAAAGTCAGGCAAAATTAAACCGCCTTGTTGAGGGATGTGTCCCCTTGGGTAAATCCAGAAACTGAAGCCTGTAAATTGTCATCACAAAAGTCAGAATAGCTGGTGTCTCCTTTGGGGAAGGAGGGAGGAAAGGGCTTTGCATTCTGGAAGTGGCTTGGGGAGAAGGGCTGCTTAGAGAACTGGCACTCCCTGTCTCTTGCCTTAAGGGGGGACTACATCTGTGTTCATTTTATAATTATTCTCTCAATCGCATATATATGTCTTATGTACTTTTCTGGATATGATCTACCCTAAGATTAAAAAAACATAAATGCATCAGGGCACGCCTGAGTGGCTCAATCCGTTGAGGTGGTTAATTTATATGAAATAAATTAAGTTATAGCAATTCTCTCTCCATTTGTTGACTGCTTTAAACATTTTATTGGGGCGCCTGGGTGGCGCAGTCGGTTAAGCGTCCGACTTCAGCCAGGTCACGATCTCGCGGTCTGTGAGTTCGAGCCCCGCGTCGGGCTCTGGGCTGATGGCTCGGAGCCTGGAGCCTGTTTCCGATTCTGTGTCTCCCTCTCTCTGCCCCTCCCCCGTTCATGCTCTGTCTCTCTCTGTCCCAAAAATAAATAAACGTTGAAAAAAATTTTTTTAAACATTTTATGATAAAAAAACCTCACGTGTTAGGAGACAGAAATAAAACTGATCTATGCATTGAGAGACATGACCAAGTTCTGACGTGGTCACTAATGTAGAATTTGGGATGAGCCCTTTAGATTCTCTGCACCTGCGTTTCTCCACTTCTAAAACGCAGGTTAGTTGGGTGCCTGGGTGGCTCAGTCGGTTAAGCATTGGACTTCGGCTCAGGTCGTGATCTCATGGTTGGTGGGTTCGAGCCCCACGTGGGGCTCTGTGCTGAAAATTTGGAGCCTGGAGCCGGCTTCGGATTCTGTGCTTCCCCCTCTCTCTCTCTGCCCCTCCCCTGCTTGCACTCTATCTCTCGCTGTCCCTCAAAAAAGAAATAAACATTAAAATATATAAATGCATCTGAAATCAACAGGAAGACACGCGCCATAGGATAATAGCCTCAGAGACCCACTGCCTCCGTTTTATAAACAAGGAGACTGAAGCCCAGAGAGGTTACAGGCTTGCTCAAGGTCACAAAAAATGTGCTTCCGGTCAAAGTGGGACTAGAATGAGGTCCAACAACTTTTCAAACTCAGTGTTCCTCCACCACCTTCCATCCCTCTCTGAAGAGGCCTCTCTCTGGGGGGGGGGGGGGGCGCGGGGGGGAGTGGAAGGCACAGATTTCCAGCCTGAAAGTTCCCTTGTTTTGTGAAAAAGAGAAAGGCGAGTCAGCAGGTCGATATCCCAAAGAGCTGGAATCAACTGTGAGGATTGTACCCACTTTTCAGATGGAATTTCAAAAGATTTAAATCCGTCCCTCCAAAGTTACCTCATTGTAATGATAAAATTACAAAAAACAAAATTCCAGAAATCTCTGGCAACTCTGAAATTGGAGTTCTACTCAGGCTGCATCTGATTTACAGATGGTATCGGAGAAAGGGCTGGAAGGCGCTGGGGAGGGAGGGGAGGAAGGACTGGGAGCCAGGAAGTCTGCAATTTTATTGACTTACCCACCTGGCCTAGGTGAGACCCTTAGCCCTGGGACAGTCAGGAAAGGAACCTCTGCTATCTCTCTGAGAGCTTTTTTGTTTTGTTTAGAGGTCAATTACTTCCCATTTGGGAAGCTTGTGAACATTAAGAGGTGCCTGAAGTGACGGGGCTGAACGATGCAGATAAGAGCTGATTGCTTGCAGAGCGCCTCCCTGGTGAAAGCCGGGCCGGCTAAGCTGGGGACGGTAAGACGCACACACAAAGGGGCAGCTCTCAGTGCAAAGGAGAGATTCCAGGACGGAAGATGGGCAGCTGGAGGTGGGCTTGATGAGCTGAGAGAGGGATGCGTTTTAAAGTGATCTTGACAGGCAGAAAGTGAGGAGACGGGAGAAGACAGTTGCCCTTCCCTCTGCTTTCCTTTTGGAAAGCCATCGTTGGTGTCGGGAGAATCTCAAGCTTCCAGGATCTCCACCCAAGAGAAAACCACACGGATTGCCTACGGACAAGGTTTTGTTAGTTTAGTTTTTTGTTTGTTTGTTTGTTTGTTTGTTTAGAGCAGCAAAAACGGAGGCCGAAAAAATCTTGAGAGCAGAACAGAAAATGTCGTAAATCAACGGCACCTCTAAAGGGTCTTGGGCATATATGACAGCAACATGCCATCCAGCCTCCCACGCCCCTTCAGCCAACTGAATGCAGTTCACGAATTCCCAGAAGCTAGCCTTGAACTGCATCTCAAACTACTGTAGAACACGAGCATGGCCTTGGCGTGTGCCCACTTACTTTTCTCCACTCCTGAGGCTTCGACCTTTCCTGGAGCCTCTCCCAGTAAACAGTGTCATTCCCACACTAATCACCAGGCTTAATCCCCTCCTGCAAGCACCCACCTCCTCCCCCACCCCTTCTCTTTCTTTCCAGAGAGGGCGCACTGTCTATCCTCCTTGACACGCAGCATTGACCACCTTGTATTTTTAGATACCTTTCTCCTGTTAGTCTCTGGTATCCAATGCGATAGTACATTTCTTCAGGGCAGCAGTCCTTCCAGAAATGTCTGGGTGATGACTGAGTTGCTGATGACTGAACCAAGCCGCTTTTGCCTTCACTCACAGACTTGACCAAGCCATAGCTCATCCTCGAGGCTGTGCTTTTTCCGTGTGGTTCAAAACGTCGAGGCAGCATGGGAAGCAAGGCCTGTTCAGAACATCTGGGACCAGCCTTGGTGCTTACGTTTCCATGTGAGAAGGGGGCAAAGGGCGAAGAAACTAACATTTACTGATTTTCTACTCGGTGCCGAGTACTCTGCTAGATCCCTGCAATGGTGACCTATGATTCCAGGGCGAGGACCTTACCCAAAGAACCGCAACAAAGGATTTTTAAAAATTAACATGCAGAACTTTAGAATCTGCTCTTGGGAAAACGTAATATGACTCACTTAACAACTGAGGGCTGGACAGATGGTCCCTCAGTGGAAGCACTGAACTTAAGCTCAACTGTCATGAATCTAAGGCCAGTGTCCACATGTCCTTCCCTTTTGTAAGGAATGTCCCCCAAAGTGAAAGATGGGTAATGCCGTGTGACCATTTTCCCGTGATGGACAGTTTAACTCTAATCTCTATTTCTTTTTTTATCTTAGCTGCATTGACCAAGGAATATTTATTGATCCCAAATTTAAAGTATACAAACTGCCCTCTTTAATCTCAGGAGCACAAGCACAAACTATAGTTGTGCACTGTGGAGCATGTCTAAATGTATTTTTATTAACAGCGAAAATAGAGAAATAAAAAAGGAGGAAAATCAAAAGGAGGGAAAATGTAAGGAAATGGTAGTAAGAAAAAAATAAGAATAATACTCTTGTTTTTAGCTTGAACACATAAGCTTCAAGAGATGTTAGCAATGAGTAGTCAGGTATAGTTTACATAGGACCAAAGAAGTCTGTTTCTCACGAAACAATCAGGACACATTCAAAAATGAGAAAATGCAGGGCCAGTACATTTTGGTTAAATATTCGCATTTATTAAATAGAATTTAATTTTTGGCATGTTAGTGGTGGAGGGGTGAAGAACCAGAGTTTTCATTGTCTACAAATGTTATCCAAGGGGAGAAAACAGGGGCCCAATTTTCCTGCCAGAGATAAATGTATCTGACCCCTTGTTCCCATTAATAGAATGAGTTTGTTTTCAGTCTTAAATTTGCAGAATTTCAAACATCTTTACGGAGGAGGGTCATGATTTCCCCCTAAAGTTCAGGCTTCCTACCCATCCCTAGGTGGACTTACGGCCTCCTCGATGCCTCCTTTCCTGTTGCTTGGTGTAGAAAAGGGTTGTGGTTTGAAAGAACCCCACAGAGCGAGAGAGCGAAGAAATCAGGTAACCTATCTCCAGGACTCCAACCATTTTGTCTCCCTAGGAAATCTTGTCTGCACCGAGGAGTCTGAACTTCTGGGTGTCGTTTTTTATTTTAATTCGAAGTTGCTTAGAGGTAAGGAGAGGTGGGTGGATTCTAATGGCCCCCACACACGCAAACACACACAAATATATTTAGTGTATTCACTCAAGGTGCTGGGCTGAATACAGGGGATAAAATGCAGTGACCGTGAAGGGGCGAGCCAGAATACCTTCCCCGAGAGCAACCACGTCCCCACTGGATTAATGGATTAATGCAGTCCTCTGAGAACTGAGCAGCGAGGGGGGTGGGGGGAGGGCATTTTAAAGTCCCCTGAGGGGTTGGGCTCACACAATAGTTCCTCACCAGGACCTCCTGCCCCCCCCCCACCCCACCCCGCCGCGCTCTACACCCGGGTTCCCACATCTCACTGGACTCCTCATTCTTCCCCACCCCCCTTGCCTTTAATGGAGGATCGAGGCCCTCTAGAGCCCCGTACCCCCCATTCACCACCACCCCCACCCCGCCCAGGCCCCAGGCTGCTGCGCACAAATTCAGGAGCCTATCAGCAAACCCTGGGTTTGAGGCTCCACAAGTCACCTGCTTCAGTACTGCTCCGAACGAGAAACTGCCAGCTACCCCGGGCTCTCCTCCCTCCCAGGGCTGCTTCGTGGGCGGCCGGCGCAGGCCCTGCGCGCTGTTTTTGGGGAGAAGACCGTCCCCGGGCCTTCAGCGGGATGGCTTATCGGGGCAATTCGCAGTCCCAGGGATTGCTCGGGGAGAAGTGCCATCCGGTCGCTCCGCCAGCGCCGCCCTCCATCCCGGCCGCCGAAAGCGGTGGGCGGCGAGGCTGGCACGGAGCACCGGGACACGGCGGGCGTCTCGGAGCCACCGCGCCTCACCAGGCCCTGACGCCCTGCAGCGCGGCGGGCAGGTGGCTCTGCGGGCCGGCGCCGGGGCCACCCCCGCCGAAACCCGCGCTGGCCAGGGGTGCGGGCGCCGCAGGACCCGGGGGCGCGCCCGCGTAGCCGCCGCCGTAGCCGGCGCCGTATGGGGCGCCCGCGTAGCCGCCGTAACAGGAATAGGGCGCCGAGGCGGCGCCGTAGGGGCCCGAGAAAGCCGGCGCGCCGGGGCCCAGGCAGGGCTTGCCGTCCCGCACCAGTACGGGCACCGCCACCCGGCGCGGCGCCGGGGGGTGGCCCGCCAGTTCTAGGGACTTGTCCTGGCGCTGTCTCTTGCACTTGTAGCGCCGGTTCTGGAACCAGATCTTGACCTGCGTGGGCGTGAGCTGCAGCGCGCTGGCCAGGTGCTCGCGCTCGGGCGCCGACACGTACCGCTGCTGCTTGAAGCGCCGCTCCAGCGCCAGCACCTGCGCCTGCGAGAAGAGCACGCGGGGCTTCCGCCGCTGGCGCGCCTTGGGCTGCTCGGGGACGGTCCCGCGCGCGCCGCTGCCGGGGTCGCCGACGCCGAGCTCTGGCCCCCTGGTCCCGCCGCGGAGGGGCGAGGCTGCGCTGAGGCCCGGCTCTAAAAGCACACGAAGGAACAGCGTCAGCGCCCAGCCTCTGGCTCCCCGAAGCAGTTACATGGTTTCCAAGAGACGCCCCTCTCCCCTGGCAGCCTTCACTCCGCGTCCCCTTCCGTCCCCTCTGCCGACCCCTCACCCCCGTCCCAGGACGGTCTGAAGGCTCCTTTCCCCCCACGCTCTGCCGCTGTTGTATCTGCAGGCACATACGTAAATGCTGCCACTCCAGGGTCCCCGGTGGACAGCCTTGTCCCAAAAGGTAGTTGATCAAGAATCTAAGACCGCTTCATTTTCTTCTTAGAAGGTCTGTGGGTGGGTGGTGGGGTAGGGGGCGATTCGCTGTGGTTCGATTCTAGCGTGGTGGTGTGTGGGGAAGCTTTTGCCTCGAGGACCAAGTGTGAGTGTGGGGGCCTGTTAGGTGGAGATTGACTTTGGACCGCCCTGGGTGGAAAGGGGGGGCAGAGAGAGAGAGAGAGAGAGAGACAGAGAGATGATAGAGATAGAGTTAGGGACAGAGCGGAAACTTGGTGACGCGCTTGCCAGTGGGTTCCTGTCTGCCTGGTTATCCGTGGTGGTCCGGGGCGCATCGCAGGTTATTCAGATCCAAGTCAGGGGCGGGTGCCCCGAGAGCCTCCGACCTTCACCCCACCCTTGCCCACACCCTTGTCTTTTTGGTCATCGAGGGCTCCACCGGCCCCAGGGACCCTTCCCATCTTTCTTGGATGTGATGCTCTTTCAGCCAAATGAGCGAAATAGAATAAAACTGAACAAAATATTTCGGTTTCCTGATTCTTGGCTTGGAAACTGAGGTTCTCTTGGAGGAATATACAAAGTTTAGACCCACATTTGGCTTTTTAAAAAGCGACCTCTTTCTCCTTTGGGGTGTCTTTGGCAAGCAGGTGGCGTTGGTTTCGCCCTGCCTTCCTCTTCCCAGGATTGGTGCCCTCGCGGATCACCCGGACTGAGGCGGCTGTGCCTGAAGCACGCAGAGATACAGCCTCTCCTCCCCTTCTCCCCACCTCTCTTCTGTCTTGGCTAAGCTCTGTTTTAACTCAAGGGTAGGTGGAGAGGAAACGCCGAGTTTTCATGGAAAATCACGCCAGGAGAAAACCAGGAATGCCGAGGGGCTGCGAGTTCTGGGTGAGGTAGAGCAGAACTCGCCTGATTAGGGAAGGTGAGGGTTGGAACCCGACTCCAAACCCCCACCCCTGTTGACACAGTCTTCTGGAGGAGGTGATGGGGCTGTTTGATAGCTGAAGTCTGTGGAAATAAAAACTTTCTTCGGCCTTCCTTCAGCTTGTGCTCAGAGAAACTGGGGACATCTCGCAAAGAGGGAAAATATTGATGGGGATTTTAATCTTAGCAAATTGAAAAGTAACAACTGACCTTAAGCAACTCTTTGGAACAAGCAGGATCCCATTTCACAGTCACTGACCACACAGGCCAAGGGGCTGCGTGACACCCTGGTGCATGCCAGCGGCAAGCGCCCTTGGTCTGCAGCCCCTCTTGCCCTGGTCTCTGAAAGCAAGGTGGTCTGGGGACAGGCGAGGTACGCAGACTCCACCAGGAACGTTCGATCATTGCAGCGGCCCCGGGCTTAGTCCCTGGAGCTGGGCGCAGGCCCCTCCTCTGAGTTAGTCCACGGCAGCTTCATAAGAGATGCTGCTTAGGGGTTCCCCGGCTGAAGAGAAAGCGGTGCGCGTGCCTTCGGCTGCTAGGTAACAGCTGTGGTCCGAGTACCGCGATCCTTTCTCAACAAAGCCAGAGTGAGTGAGGAGTTGGCTGAGCAGCTCGGAGGGAATTCGTGTTTATAGAGTCTGCAGAAACCCACAGGCCTCTCTGAGAACACACAGCAAAGGTTAATGTTCTCCAGGTTCCTGGAGTGGGTGAGTAACCAGGCCACTAGTCAACAAACAACTCTGAACTAGTCCCTTTACTTATTCGTTTGAGTCTTGAATGGATGGGCCGTGGCACGGCCTGGCGGAAGAGGCCCGACACGCCAGGCCTGGCCGGGCGGACCCCAGATGCGCACGGAGGCTGCAGACAGAGGCGCAGAGAGAAGAGTGGCTTCTTCATCCCTTGGAATGTGGACACTTTTCTGCGGAAGCTTCCCAGGTCTCAGGGGCCAAGGCAACACAATTCAATGCCCACTCCTTCCCTTCCTGCGGCTAGGTGCAGGTGCCAGGGCCTGGCTTCCCTGCGCACGACGTGGCACTTTCGGAGACCAGGCACGGAGACCCCTGGAGTCGTCTCCCAGAGCTTCGAAACCTGGAGCTGCCCTTACCCCGCTCCCAGACGCGGAGGAGCACCCGCCAGCGCCCGCAGGGCCGTTCAGGCCTAGGGACGCAGACACGACCTGACCCGGTCGCCACCTCTCTTTGTCCAGAGGAGGAACCTGGGCGGAGGATGACTGGGCTGGCCAGGCCACTCAGCAAGCCCCAAGCTGCGGCTTGCCCCAGAGCCAGCCGACTTTCCACTCCCAAAGCGCTCGGCTGCTTTTGATGGCTGCACTTGGGGCAGACGCTTTAGGGTACAGAGACTCGGAAATGGCAGGGGAGACCCGTGATGTTGGAGCAGAGCTAAGACACCTAGAGGGTTTCGCTGTGAGAAGGGGAAGCTGGAGTTTCTGGGAAGTGTGGCTGTGACTGGGGGTGATGCGCTTGTGCGAAGCAGAGGGCAGGCTATGGAAATAATGAACCCCCTACGATTCAGGGGGCGCAGGAAGCACACCGGGTGTCTGAAGGGGATGGTAGAGGGGGCTGAGAGATCTGCCTTTTGGAATTCTCAAACAAGGGGAAATAGAAGCCCTCGGAGCGGGAAAGACCAGGAGATGCGCGTTAGCCCCACGCGCCAACTGGTCATGACCAACCCCACAGCCAGGATCCCCCTGTAGAAGCCGAGACCTGAGCGCGCGTACTTACGTGGCTCCTCCACGCGTTCTGAGTCCATCTCTGCGAGCGTCTCGGGGGGACCACCAGGACACCCCGACTCGTCGGTTCTGTCGCTGTTTCCGCCGCGGGCGCTGCAGGTGCTGTGAACCTCTGACTTTCGCGGTTCTGGGACCGGTCGCTGGCACTGAAAGCTTTCAGGGCTCCCCGGTGCCTCCTGGAGTTGCAAGAATTCGGGATCTATCTGCTCTGGCTCCAGCCTCAGGATATCATTGACCGAGAAGGGGGTGGAGGTGACAGGGTTCAGCGGCATCCCGAAGGCGGAGGAGGCGGGGCTGGGGTGTCCCCGGTCACCCTCTGGGTGTCGCCCTGAGCTTCCCCTCTTGTCGCTGCAAGCACAGCGGGCAGACGCCCAGTGTCCTGTACTGCGCCTTCCTCTGGGCCATCCCTGCCGGCCGGGTGACCGAGGCCGAGATCGCTGACCCTCATTGGTTCCGGCAGGAACCACGTGCTAATCTGTACCTTCCTCCCCGGGAGCTTTCTTCCCGCGCCCTTCGAATTCCTCTCCACCCCCCAGCCACCTTCCGGAAAGGTTTGGTTTGTGTCGACGGTTCTCAAAAGCCAGGAAAATGGGAGAGGGTGCTGCGCGCGGCTCGTATCTGGGTGAATACGGTAATAGAGGGAGCCGCAGAGGTCAGCCCCGTCCACGGGGCTCTCCTAGGGGACGTGAGGGGATGGGGGGGGGGAACCCTTGCTCTGCAACCCGAGCCCGTCCTTCCGGCCCGGCCTTTGCTCAAGTCTCCACTCACGTGGCCGAGGAAAACTGAGGCGGAGACGGCTGGGCACCCGTGGGATTAGAGGAGCATGCTGGAGTATTAAGTGGGCGCAGGGTGGGGTCCCCCCGCGGCGGGGAGCTCGGTTCTGGGAGCAGAGGCTGGGCGCCGGAGGAGCGAGTCTTGACCCGTCTACGCCTAGCCTCAGCCGGAAACTTCTCGCTTTGAGCAGAGTCTGGGTCTGGGGAACCCAGATGGCCTCTTCGTAGGCGGAGCATCTCAGCTACGGTCGCCAAGACTTGGCAAGGGAGCTATATTGGGGGAGCCCCCTGGCCTCTTGGCGGGCTCCGCGAGTGAGTGGGGAGGAGGAAACGTACTAGCCCCAGCTCTCAAGGCCCCAGACAGGGGCTCCCTAGTTCCTTCTCTTCCTCCCCTTTAATCTCCCTAAAGTTGATTGTTTTCAGCGTTCCAACTTTCAGTGTGTCTGAACTCGGTGTCGTCCTTCCCCTCCTCACCCCCACCTCCAGCCCCGCCCCCAGGGGGTGGGAAGCCCTGGGGAGCATTAGATTTTCAGAAAAAACTCCTCTTGGACGCAGCTGGCAACAAGTGGAAGGAGACAGGGTGTGCAGTGGTTGGGAACGGGAAGGTGGAGTCAACACGTCTATGTCTAGCCCTTGCTCTTGAACACAGCTGTGGGCTTGATTAAAGTATTTACCTCTCTAAACTAAGGCTTACTTTTAAAGCGGAGATAACAATAGGCTCATCGTAGGATGATTGTGAGAATTGAGATAATGTGTATGAAGCCATCAGTGAATGTCCACCGCTATCACTCATGCTACATTGGTTCAATTAAGAATACATGATTTAGCGTGAGCAGTCTCAGCAGACTCTAAGGAGTTTTAAAGTACCTTTTAATCAAAATGAGATCTAGAGTTCTTTTTTGGGATTTCAGATCAACTGTTTCTTAGGTAAGCCTTCCAAGAGAATTCAATGTTACAAGAACCGTCTGGGCTTTATTACTGCCTGAAATTTAGATAAGTTGAACTCGCGTTCCCAGTCTAGTGGGCACAAAATTTTGGCACATTTGGTGGTTCAACCAAGTAATGCTTTCTTATACATCACATCATTTAATCTTTACATCAAAGCTACACTCCAGGTGTTTCCAGTTTTCCTTCCTTCCTTCCTTCCTTCCTTCCTTCCTTCCTTCCTGTCTTTTTCAGCGATGAGTCACCATCAGAGAGGTTAAGCGACTCCTGAGGCAGGGCTGGCTGAAACTCCCAGAGACATCAACATCTTGCAATGACATTTATTTAAGTTTTTTTTCAGTGATAAAAGTCACCATGCACCCTTTGGGGGTGGGGGTGGGGTAGAAACAAGAGAAAGTTGCAAAGAAAACAAGATTCATCCAGAAATGACATTTAGCTCACTTCCTTCTTTACACTATCTTGGCATAGGGTATATGCAAGTTTGTGTATTTTAAATTTACATCATAAGCATGTCCAGCACTTCACTAGAGTTTTCACAAATGTATTCAAAAATTACAATATTCAAAAATTACAAATTACAACCAGCGTGGTCCATGTTATGGATGGTCCATAATAGACTGTGTTTATAGTTTTAGATTATATCTGTTTTTGTCACTGTAAACAAAACTTCAGAGGATATCTTTGTGCTTTCAACCTTGTCAACATTTTGGGTTATTTCCTCAGGATAAATATGTAGGACAAATATTAATGAATCAAATCCCACGACTTCCTAGAAAAAAAGTTATCGTATTCTCCTCTCCGCAGCGGTGTAGGCAAACGTCTGATAGGCGGGTATTTACTACAAGCATCCTGACCTCCGAAAGTGGACGCATTTAGGACATTTTCATTAAGAGCTCTTTGAGCAGCCCTCCGCCCCCTTCCCCCCCTCCAGTAGCTCCGCTCAGTCCCCACTTTCCAAGCTGCGGCTCGAGGCGACCCGGGGTGAAGACGTCAAGCGCAAACCCGCGGTCAGCGCTTTATTCCACGCTGAAATTCTCCCCGTGGCCTATTGCGCTCGGGGAAGACCTAGAAAAAGGGCACCTTGGGATGGTCTTGGCATCCAAAGCCCTGAGTACAAATCGTGCTCTCGGGTTTGGCTTTGCTTTTTCTTCCTTGGTTTGTTGGAGAGTTGGGACGGGAAAAGGTTTTCTGACCCCTCGCGATTGGTGTAAACACCAGTCAGCTTGACGGAAGGGACGCCTTTGGCTCAGGCTCCCGCACACCGGGAGCAACCCTGGAGACAGGTGTGCCGATCGCTCTCGCCCCAACCCTGCGGGAGACAGGCTGTCCTGCCTCCTGGAGGGCGCCGTGCAGCCGGGAGGGAGCGTACTTCGCGGTACTGGCCTCAGCTTTCCGTGGTCTCCGCTTGCTGGGGTCTCGCTCTCTCCCCAAGTCACCTCCAGGACCCCCAGGACCTGGGCTTTGCGGCAAACAGGTCGGGCGTGGGTGACACCCCTTCCTCCTCCTCTGGAGCTAGGGAGCCCTGGAAACCGCCCCGCCCCGAGGCAAGGTGGAACCGGTAACTTTGGTCTTACTCTCGCCACATCAATTGCAACCCTAATAACTGGGACACGAGCGACCAGGCCAGGGTGGGTGGGTCATGGGGAGGGGCCAGGAGTAAGGCCGGCAGGCGTGGAGAGCAGAAAAGCTGGGGAGTTCTGAGGCTGTTAGGCAGAGCTGGGCACAGCCTAGACAGTGTGGTGCCAGGTGATGTGCTCCCTTGCTCAGGAGTGGAAACATCATCTCTCTCTCTCTTGTTTTATTTTAGAGAGAGAGCGGGAGGGAGAGCGAGGGATAGGAGCAGAGAGACAGAGAATCTTAAATAGGCTCCATACTCAGCACAAGCCCTCCGGGAGGCTCGATCTCACAACCCTGGGATCATGACCCTGGCAGAAATCCAGTCTGCTGCTCAAGGGACTGAGCCACACAGGTACCCCACCATCTCTATTCTTAAAATGAGATGGAGCTGGTCATGCCAGGGGTGTGAGTGGCCTTAGTCCACTTAGGTCACACAATAAATAAAACCTCAAACCAAACTAGGTCCACCAATGCATTTGAAACGCTTACCCTGGGCCAGCTCCGTCCAAGCGCTTAACATACTAAGGAAATGAAAGGCCTCAGCCTTTTATCTTACCCCACTCTTGCACAGGAGACAGACTTTTAAATTATTCCCAAGCCGTGTGATACCATCATACAGAATCTGCTCATGAAGTATATTGAACTTCTTCCCATTCATGGTTAAGGTTAACAAAGGTCTTCCCGCCTGTGCTGCACCCCCCCCCCCAATTTTTTTCAGACTAAAACGAAGGGATTCCCTCTTTAAAACTCGATACACAACAAGCAACTCCCAATGAAGTCTGGTGCTGGGGCGCTTTGGGCTTGTAGGAGATCAACTAAGGTCTTTTACACTGTAGCAGGATCCCCATTAGGCTAGACTAGGGCTCTGGGTCTGTTGTCCTAGTATATCTCCAGGGCCTAGGCTAGCAACTGGTACATAGTAGGTCTCTAGTAAACATTTGTTGGATAAAGAAATCTGTCTTGTTTGCCTGGGGATGGTCCCTAGGATACCCTGGGAACTGGTCTAGAAGTGTTTGGTCCACCCAGGGCTGGGCAAACTCTGAACTGCCCACCATCTCACTTTCTGCTTTGCCACTCTTTCGGCGGGAGCCATTTTTAAGTATTATGATAATGTGGGGGTTTTTTTGAGTATGTGAAACATTAACATAATTCTAAAAGCCAAAATCATGCACAAAGATATATTCAAAGACATGACCATGACACCTTTATCCTTTCTATTCTCATTCCCCATCCCCCACCCCCCTACCTTCCCCAGTTCCTACACACTCCCAGTCTCATCACTTTATTCTTTTTGTGCTCCCCCCCCCACACATGACCAGGTACATGTATTTCTTTAAAAAAAAAATGTTTCCCCTTCCTTACCTGACAAGGTAGCATAATATGGGTAGTCCTTGTTGCTGTAAATCAGTGACATTTATTAAGATTTTTTGTATTGATATTATGCTTTGAATTCTATCCATGGGTGTTGTTGCTTTACAATACAGGATGTCCCTGTTGCAACAACAATGTCTGTGCACTTTCTACCTGCGTTTCCTTTGCTCAGAATAAGCTATTCCATGTCTACGATATAGTCAGGACACTGAAAATCTCTCACTATTCATGACTGTTGGCACAGATCTTTGGAACCTTATTTTCGCAGAATGCATGACTATGGTCTTAAAGCAAACCCTTTCAAAACATCTCACTGATTTTTTTCGTTTGTTTTTTACTTTATTTTTTAACTTTACTTATTTTGAGAGAGAGAGAGAGGGAGAGAGGGAATGGGTGAGAGCCTGAGCAAGGGAGGGGCAGAGAGAGAGAGGGAGAGAGAGAATCCTAAGCAGGCTCCATGCTGTCATCGCGGAGCCCCACGTGGGGCTCCGTCCCACCAACCATGAAATCAGGACCTGAGCAGAAATTAAGAGTCAGTGTGCTTAACCAACTGAGTCACCCAGGCGCCCCTGAATTTTCTCATTAAAAAAAATGTTTTTTCTCTTTTTTTCTTTTAACTTAATTGTCTCTGTATTACAGATAAAGAACACAGAGGTTACTTATGGTCCCAAACCATAAGTGACAGCTACCAAAGAGTGGAGGAAAATTACAATCCAGGTTTTCTTGACAGGGTTTCTGGTTCTTTCTATCATATGCCTGTGTCATAAGCAAAGGCTATTGCCCTCCACTCTCTTTGGTCACACTTTGAAT